CAACCGCCAGCTCAGAGGGAGAAAGAAGTGCCCAAACATGCTCAGATCCAGCCAGTGTCTCCCTGGCTTCTGAGCTGGGCCTTTCTCCGTGCTGGGTGGGTTATTACGTCTATTCGGAACTATAACCTACAGATGATCATTATACCATTAGAAGCCTCTATTTATTTACGAATGGCACTGCAGACGGGGATAATTACTGCCTTTCACAGGACACCTGGCCTCACACCAGAGAAAGAAAGCCAACATCACTCCCAGCCTCCAAAGATTGCTTCCAGAGCCAAGCAGGACCCTTGTTTTCACCGGCAAGCTTTCTGAATAAACGCTGTGTCCAAAGAGACACACCACGCTCCCTAAAGGAAATGCATGGCTTTCTCGGTGGGTGCCTGTCCCAGCACCACCCCCAAACCCTGATTCAGACTGGATGAGTCTCCACGGGGCCCTTGTAGACCTCTCGCCTCCACAGAACCGAAGGTGGAATTTCTGAATCCACGGACGTGCCGTGGAAGGACTACTGAGACCTGCTGCAGAGCAAAGAGCTGACTCTCAGGCCACTTGCAATGTAGAAAGGAAGACTTGTCTTTTCTGGGTCAAACATTCTGGAGCAAACCTCTCCCAGGACATGCGGAAAGAGAACGTAGGTAGAAACTCGTTGCTCTTGTGTAAGAGGGTAATTACAGACTGGGAGAAATAAATCTATTCAGAGCATGTTGAGACTGGAAGGGAGGGCAGAGGAGCCCCTGGAGAGAAGTTTAAAGGTGAGGGCTTCGGTGCAGAGTGCCCCCACTGGGAATGTGCGGGGCCTGCCTCCCGCCTCCGCCAGCCGTGCCCGCATACAGGGAGCCCAAGTGGCAGGAATGCTTCCGGTCACCGCCCAAGAAGCTGCCCCGCCAGGCAAGCAGAGGCTCCCTGTAGGAAAACCCACAACCCACACCACCTGCAGGGCTGCTGCTTGGGATAAATATCTGGCCTTTGTCCCCAGGTCCTGGCTCACGGCTCCTAACACCATTGGATCTCCCAAAGGATAGGAGTGTTTTCAGTGTGCTAAGGAGATGACTGGTGGTTGGGGGCTACGTATGCTTCAGGATGGGGGCTGGTTGCCCCCAACAGCAGCCATGATCAGGGGGTTGAACTCTCAGCCCCACCCCCTGGGGAGAGGACAGGAGGGGAGGGAGGCCGAAGATTGAGTTCAATCGCCAAAGGCCAGTGATTTACTCAATCATGCCTGAGCAATGAAACCTCCGGAAAAACCCCTAAACGATGGAGTTTGGAGAGCTTCTGGGTTGGTCCACATGAGGAGGTGCTGGGAGGGTGGCATGCCCGGAGTCGGCCTGAAGCTCAGGGCCCCTCCCAGCACACCTTGCCCTACGCATCTCTGCCATCTGGCTGTTCTAGAGTTGTTTCCTGTATCATGAACTAGTGACAGGAAGTAAACTGTTTTCCTGAATTCCAGGAGTTGTTCTAGCAAATTAGAGGAGGAGAGGCGGGAAGCCCCTGACTTTACGGCCGGTGGGTCTGAAGTCCAGGTGGCCCAGACTTGGGGTCGGCATCCGAAGGGGGCAGTCGTGTGGGGCCTGTGCCGACTCGAGGGGGTCAGGGTAAGAACAGAATGGAGTTACTGAACACCCAGTGGGTATGCAGCGAGTTGGTTATCGCATGCCCACACCACTGGTGTCAGAGTGCTCCAAGTTCACGGTGCTCCTACTGAGCCAAGGCTGGGCAGGCCGTGAGTCCGGCCCCCATCACGGGCTCTGCAAGGCACCTCACGCCGCTCCAAGCTACGCAAGACCCGCTCTCTGTGTAGGACGTGGGGTCGGGGGACTTGCTGATGAACCAGATATTTGCCAAGGCGATTACTTTGGCACACGGGGGTCTTCAGGGGTGGCAGGAGAAAGTCAAGTGCAGGGTACCTGGAAAGCAGGGCAGGCCTGGTTCTACTAGTACCCTGGTGGCCCGTGGCGAGACTCAAGACCAAACATGAGTCAGGAAGGCGTGCACAAAGGGAGATTAGGATCCCCATTCCCATCTAGGTGACCAGAGATGTGACTATGTACTCAAGCCCCACGGTCCAGGTGGGACTTGTCCCTGTCATTAGCTCAAGTGCCATCCACACATCCCTTGTCAGGGCTGAGTCAGGGAGATGAGAGAGATGAGAAATATACAGGCTGATCGTATGGAGCGAGCTGAGGGAGGGAGGGTGATGTCCTTGAAACCACGCTTCGGTATTTCTTTAAACCTTTGTTTGTGGGGCCCAAGTGACGTTATAGATTTCCCTCCTCAAGAACTCTGCAGAGCACAGGAAAAACATGACAGAGCGGACAGAGGGTTCAATATGTCTGAAACCGAGGTGGGGGGGTAGATCCTAAAAGCAGCAGAACCTGGTTGCTGGAAGCGTCCTGCGCGATGCAGTGGTTCGAGAACACGAGGTCCTGGAGCAACAGTAGAGAGAGGCCGTGGTACATGCCCGTCTTCCTCTGACGTACAGGCGTTAAGAATCCCCCTCCGGACACAAGGCAGGAGAAACTCCGATTAACCTGGCTTGATCCCTTCACAAAACGGCGCCTTCAAGCGTGCCGTGGTCAGCCAAGAAGCCCGACCGTGAGTGGGGAAGGCGGTGTGTAGGACCCACGAACTTGGGGGTGTCCTACACCCAACTTCCCAGGAGCCAGGAGGATCCCAATAGGGGGCCCCCCGCCGTGGGTGTGCGCAGGCCACGGGCTGGTGACAGTGGCCCTCGGTCCGCCCCCCAGGACCCACTCTCCCACACCGCCTGGGGGGGCCGGGGGCCTGACACCAACGGGCCGCCAGTTCACCCCAGGAGAGCACCACCTGCAGCCATGACAAGGCAATGACAAGCTGCCATTTCTCACTCGGCCAAGAAAACCTAAGAGTCAAGAACTATGCAGAAACTCATAAAACGAAACAAGCCCCCATGCGCTGTGCCATTTGTCTGCAGGACGTAGGAAGCTTCCGAGAATACGCTGTGGGCAGTGGGGTCCCTTCCTGAGGGCGCAGAGGAAGGAGGCTCCGTGCAGGGGGCCAGGTGATGGACGGCTGTATTGTTTTTGACTTTTTAATGCGCGTGCACCGTTTCTGTAATTGTCTTCAAATAAACACGATTTCACCCTCCCCTTTCTGAAGCTGCTTTTCTGGCACTAAATATCAAGGCCTTTAAAAACGGCCAATTGCCACGTCCACCTCTCCGCTCCCCCCTCTACACCTCCGGGCCCGCCCTGAACGCTCCGTGCCTCCAAAACTGGGGCAGTGTCAGAAAACACCAACAGCAAGTGCCCACCACAAAGGGATTCGGTCCCGATCGGTCAATAATAGAGGGTGCTCGCTGCACCCAGAGGCACTTCCCATGTGGGGGAAGCCAACTGCCCTCAGCCCCCCAGGATCATAAAAGCACTGGGCCACCCGCTGGCCCAGCCTCGTCCAGCCCTAACGTGCCATGCGGGTCTCGGCATCCCGCGCTACTGCAGCCAATTTCCTGTCGTGCCCCAATACCTCCCAGAGACTTCCCCACACTCGTTTCAGGGATAATACAGCGTGTGATTCCAGTATTGGCAAGGGAGTGGGGAAGGAGAGCCCTCCTAGGGGCCCAGCGGGCGGGGAGCACCGCTCCGGTGACCAGTTCTGGAATAGCTGGTCACTCTGCAGTGGGCATACCTACAGCCTAGCAGCCCCGCGTTCCCCCCCCGCCCCCATCTACTTCCCTGCTCGCGCCTGAGGTGGTGGGGACAGGAAGCATGCAGGTTCACCGCAGCCTTGCTACCCTGCTGGGAAAGAGAGAGCAACTCCATTGTCTACAGGTAGAAGATGACCAAGAAGCCTTGGTCCTTCCACAGCCCTGACCTGTAGGTAAAGCGAAGGAACCAGGGCTGCAAACGCTATGCTAGCGACGACAGGAAGCAGAATCCGAGGGGTGAGGTTCTGGGGCTGGAGTGCTCGCCTTCTCCAGCGGGGTCACGCCGGTGTCCCGCCCCCCCCCCCAACCACGTCTGCTAAACAGCACATGTGGGACTGGAGAGTAAAATGCAGATACATACAAGGGCAAGCCCTGTATTTCAGAGGAAGTTTCTTAGGAGTTTTTACAGATACTTTTCATTAAAAAAAAAAAAATCTTTTAAATTATTTATGGTACTTGATCAGACTGATATGTAACTTCAGCCTGTGAACAACCATGGACTGTAAAATGAGCTCGACAAAGTGTCGAGTTGGCTCAAATCCAGATGTCATGTATACATACACACACACAAACATATGCATTTTAATGAGAAATGATTCACATATCATTTAATTTGCCCATTTAAACTGTATAATTCAAGGGTTTTTAAAGAATTATAATTTTTTATTTATTTGAGATAGAGCAGAGGGAGGGGCAGAGGGAGAGAGAGAATCCCAAGCAGACTCCCTGCTGAGCGTGGAGCCTGACTCGGAGCTCAATCCCACGACCCTGAGATTGTCACCTGAGCCGAAATCAAGAGTCAGACTCTTTAACAGACTGAGCCACCCAGGCGCCCCAATTCAACGGTTTTTAACCTATTCCACAGAGTTGTACGACCATCACCACCACCACTTTCAGAACCTTATCATCACCCCACAAAGACACCCTGCACCCGCGGGCAGTCACTCTGCTTCCCCCTACCCAGTGATGTAGCCACCCTGGATAGGCCATGTAAACGAAGCCACTCAAGATGTGCCTTCTGTGACTGGCCTCTTGCGCTTAGTGAGGTGTCTTCAAGGCCCATGCATGTGGCACGTGCCAGAATTTCCTTCTTTTTCAAGGCAAAATACTAGTCCATTGTGTGGATCTACCAGGTTTTATTTATCCATCCATCAGTTGATAGACCACACTTAAAATTTTTTTTTTTTTTACGTTTTTAAGGTGTCCACATTTTCAGTAATCCTAAAACAGAATAACCTCCCCCCCACAACCTGAGCTTTGAATTCGTTCTCTCGGTCGGGAAAGGCCCGTGGCAGGTGACCGCGCCCCAGCTCACCTTCTCCTGGGCAGACCTGGCCACGCTCGAGACTCGCCGCACGGCCAGCTCGAGGGGCTGCTGCAGCGGGTCCTCCTCGAAGGACAGGAGCAGCGGGCCCTGGAACAGAAGGAGAGGCATGGTGAGGGCACGTCAGCACGGGGCTGCCCCCCGTCATGATTATATACTGGGGAGAAAGCTCTGCAAACCTGGGAACATGATCCCTTTCAGATAAAGCTGTGATTCCAGCAGCAGCGGGGGGTCAAATATCACTCACAATACAATGCGCTCGGGGATGGGTTCGGTTACCAGAGAGGGACAGGAAGCAAAGAACACAACAAAACCAGACATGTGACAATAAAGA